CTGGTATCACACACACTGTAGTGTGTCTGTATGCACACACTGTGGTGTGTCCTGTATACACACACACTGTGTGTGTCTGTGTCCCCACACACTGTGAGGTGTGTCTGGTATCCACACACTGTGAGTGTGTCTGGTATACACACACACTGTGAGGTGTGTCCTGGTATACACACTGTAGTGTGTCCTGGTATACACACACTGTGAGTGTTCCTGGATACACACACTGTGAGGTGTGTCCTGTTTTCCACACTGTAGTGTGTCCTGTGTCACACACTGTGAGTGTGTCCTGGTATACACACACTGTGGGGTGTGTCCTGTGCTTACACACTGTGAGTGTGTCCTGTTACACACACTGTGAGGTGTGTCCTGGTATACACACTGTAGTGTGTCTGGTATACACACACTGTGAGTGTCTGTATCACACACACTGAGGTGTGTCCTGGTATACACACACTGTGAGGTGTGTCCTGTATACACACACTGTAGTGTGTCTGGTACACACACACTGTGAGGTGTGTCTGTGTCACACACACTGTGGTGTGTCCTGTATACACACACTGTGAGGTGTGTCCTGGTATACACACACTGTGAGGTGTGTCCTGGTATACACACACTGTGAGGTGTGTCTCTATACAACACACACTGTGAGGTGTGTCCTGTGTACACACACACTGTGAGGTGTGTCCTGGTTACACACACTGTGTGTCCTGGTATACACTGTGAGGTGTGTCCTGGTATACACACACTGTGGTGTGTCCTGGATACACACATGAGTGTGTCCTGGTATACACACACTGTGAGGTGTGTCCTGTTACACACACTGTGAGGTGTGTCCGTACACACACTGTGAGTGTGTCCTGTATACACACACTGTGAGGTGTGTCCTGATACACACACTGTGAGTGTGTCTGTCCCCACACTGTAGTGTGTCCTGTATACACACACCTGTGAGGTGTGTCTGTCTACACACACACTGTGAGGTGTGTCCTGGTATACACACACTGTGAGGTGTGTCCTGGTATACACACACTGTGAGGTGTGTCCTGGTATACACACACTGTGAGGTGTGTCCTGGTATACACACACTGTGAGGTGTGTCCTGGTATACACACACTGTGAGGTGTGTCCTGGTATACACACACTGTGAGGTGTGTCCTGGTATACACACACTGTGAGGTGTGTCCTGGTATACACACACTGTGAGGTGTGTCTGTATACACACACTGTGAGGTGTGTCTGTATACACACACTGTGAGGTGTGTCTGGTATACACACACACTGTGAGGTGTGTCCTGGTATACACACACTGTGAGGTGTGTCCTGGTATCCACACACTGTGAGTGTGTCCTGTATATACACACACACTGTGAGGTGTGTCCTGGTTACACACTGAGTGTTGTTACACACACTGTAGTGTGTCCTGGTATACACACACTGTGAGTGTGTCTGTATACACACTGTGAGGTGTGTCCTGGTATACACACACTGTGAGTGTGTCCTGGTATACACACACACAGTGTGTCCTGTAACACACTGAGTGTGTCTGGTATACACACACTGTGAGTGTGTCTGTATACACACACACTGTAGTGTGTCTGTATACACACACTGAGTGTGTCTGTATACACACACTGTAGTGTGTCTGTATACACACACTGTAGTGTGTCCTGGCTACACACACTGTGAGGTGTGTCCTGGTATACACACACTGTGAGGTACCAGGTGTGTCCTGGTATACACACTGTGAGGTGTGTCCTGGTATACACACACACTGTGAGTGTGTCTATACACACACTGTGAGTGTGTCCTGGTATACACACACCTGTGTGTCCTGGTACACACACTGTAGTGTGTCCTGGTATACACACACACTGAGTGTGTCCTGTATACACACACTGTGTGTGTCTGGTATACACACACCTGTGAGTGTGTCCTGGTATACACACACTGTGAGGGTGTCCTGGATACCACACACTGTGAGGTGTGTCCTGGTATACACACACTGTGTGTGTCTGTGGTATACACACACTGTGAGGTGTGTCCTGTGCTACCACACACTGTGAGGTGTGTCCTGGTATACACACACTGTGAGGTGTGTCTGGTATACACACACTGTGAGGTGTGTCCTGTATACCACACACTGTGAGGTGTGTCCTGGTATACACACACTGTGAGGTGTGTCTGTGCCACACACTGTGAGGTGTGTCCTGGTATACACACTGTGAGGTGTGTCTGGTATACCACACTGTGAGGTGTGTCCTGTACTGAGGTTGTTACACTGTGGTGTGTATACACACACTGTGTGTGTCTGTGCACACACACTGTGAGGTGTGTCCTGGTACACACACACTGTAAGTGTGTCCTGGATACACACACTGTGAGGTGTGTCCTGGTATACACACACACTGAGTGTGTCTGTGTGTATACACACTGTGAGTGTGTCTGGTATACACTGAGTGTGTCTGGTATCACACACACTGTGAGGTGTGTCCTGGTATACACACACTGTGAGGTGTGTCTGGTATACACACACTGTGAGGTGTGTCTGTGCACACACACTGGTGTGTCTGTATCACACTGTGAGGTGTGTCTGGTATACACACACTGTGAGGTGTGTCCTGGTATACACACACTGTGAGGTGTGTCCTGGTATACACACTGTGAGGTGTGTCCTGGTATACACACTGGAGTGTGTCTGGTAACCTGTGGGTGTGTCCTGGTATACACACACACTGTAGTGTGTCCTGGTATACACACATGAGTGTGTCCTGTATACACACTGTGTGTGTCTGGTATACACACACTGTGAGTGTGTCTGGTATCACACACTGTGAGGTGTGTCCTGGTATACACACACACTGTAGTGTGTCCTGTATACACACACTGTAGTGTGTCCTGTATACACACTGTGAGGTGTCTGCCTCACACACACACTGTGAGTGTGTCCTGGTATACACACACTGTGAGGTGTGTCTGGTATCACACACTGTGAGTGTGTCTGTATACACACACACTGTGGTGTGTCCTGTGTACACACACACTGTGGTGTCCTGGTATACACACACACTGTGAGGTGTGTCTGCATACACACACTGTGAGGTGTGTCCTGGTATCACACACTGTGAGGTGTGTCTGGGTAACACACTGTGGGTGTTCCACTGGTGTGTCCTGGTATACACACACTGAGAGTGTGTCCTGGTATACACACACTGTGAGGTGTGCTGTACACTGTGAGTGTGTCCTGGTATACACACACTGTGAGTGTGTCCTGGTATACACACACTGTGGTGTGTCTGTATACACACACTGTGAGGTGTCTGTATACACACACACTGTGAGTGTGTCCTGGTATACACACACTGTGAGGTGTGTCCTGGTATACACACTGTGGTGTGTCTGGTATACACACTGTGAGGTGTGTCCTGGTATACACACACTGTGAGGTGTGTGTGTCCTAGTATACACACTGTGAGTGTGTCTGGTATACACACACATGTAGGTGTGCTAACACACATGTAGGTGTGTCCTGGTACACACACTGGGTGTGTCTGTATACACACTTGGTACACTCAAACGCCTCCTTTACTGTTTACTGACAAGGGCCACGAGCTTCTTCTTGTTGTCTACGTGTTGTGGACTCTGCTGCAGCGTTGAGGTCGTGTTATTGTCCGCTGGTGAGGTACGAGGGATGTGTGTGTGTGTGTGTGTGTGTGTGTGTGTGTGTGTGTGTGTGTGTGTGTGTGTGTGTGTGTGTGGTGTGTTGTGTGTGCTCACAGGGTGGTGTATGCTTATAGTGTGGCAGCATATGTTAGTGTTAAGGTTAGCATTGCTTGCTCCCTCTCGCTATCAGCTGCCGCTGCTTTAGCCCTCGCCTTGGCACAAAGCAACTTGTCTATCTTCCCCTGCAGTACACGGCCTCTTCACCATCAAGACACCTGTTGTGCCTCCTCGTAACCATAGTACTAGGTGCCTCGTGTGCCCAACCTAGACCAGTAGGGTCTCGGGTAGCAGTGGGCCCCAGAGATGGCGCATAGTACTTCTTTTTCTGTTTCTTCTTCTTCTTCCTCTTCTTCTTTATCTATTCTCCTCATATTTTTCTTCCTCCACATTGTCCAGCTCCTCTCTCCTCTTCCTCCAGTCAGCTCTTCCAGGTTACTCGCAATCTGTGTCGGTTCATTAGTTGATACATGAGGTCCAGTTAACGAGTACAGTCTAACATCCAGTCACTCCATGTACCAGTTGATCGTCCAGTCACTCCCTGTACCAGTTGATCGTCCAGTCACTCCCTGTACCAGCTATCGTCCAATCACTCCCTGTACCAGTTGATCGTCCAGTCTCCTGTACCAGGATCGTCCATACTCCTGTACCAGTTGGTCGTCCAGTCCTCCTGTACCATTGATCGTCGTCACCCCTTTCCTGAATCGTCCAATCACTCTGTACCAGTGATCGTCCAGTCACTCCCTGTACCAGCATTCGTCCAGTCCTCCCTGTACCAGTGATCGTCCAGTCTCCCTGTACCAGCTGATCGTCCAGTACTCCCTGTACCAGCTGATCGTCCAGTCACTCCCTGTACCAGTTGATCGTCCAGTCACTCCTGTACCAGCTGATCGTCCAATCACTCCCTGTACCAGTCGATCGTCCGTCACTCCTGTACCAGCTGATCGTCCAATCACTCCCTGTACCAGTCGATCGTCCAGTCCTCCTGTACCAGCTGAGTCGTCCAGTCACTCCATGTACCAGTTGATCGTCCAGTCACTCCTGTACCAGTGATCGTCCAGTCTCCCTGTACCCTGATCGTCCAGTCACTCCCTGTACCAGTTGATCGTCCAGTCACTCCCTGTACCAGTTGATCGTCCAGTCACTCCCTGTACCAGCTGTCGTCCAGTCACCCCTGTACCAGCTGATCGTCCAGTCACTCTGGCCCATACAGTGTGGGGACCCAGCCGGGTGTTGCCGCCATCTACACAGGTTGTTACATCTGATTATATTTGCATGAATGAATGACAACATATCCTACCCTCTGTGTGTACGGTCTCAACCACAGCCTCAGTTCGGTCCTCAACCGGCCTCAGCCACAGCCCTCAATTACGGTCCTCAACCACGGCCTCAGCCACAGTCCTCAACCGGCCCTCAGCAGCCTCAGTACGGTCCTCCCAGCCCCTCAACCACAGCCCTCAGCCAGTCCTCCTCAGCCTCAGCCACAGCCTCAGTGCGGTCTCAACCGGCCTCAGCCACAGTCCTCAACCACGGCCTCAGCCACAGCCCTCAGTACGGTCCTCAACCGGCCCCTCAGCCACAGCCTCAGTACGGTCTCAACCACGGCCTCAGCCACAGCCCTCAACTACAGTCCTCAACCACGGCCTCAGCCACAGCCCTCAGTACGGTCCTCAACCCGGCTCAGCCACAGTCCTCAACCGGCCTCAGCCACAGCCCTCAATACGGTCTCCAACCACGGACCTCAATTACAGTCCTCAGCCACGGCCTCAGCCACGGTCCTCAACCACGGCCCTCAGCCCGACCTTGATTATGGCCTCAACTACGGCCGTAAATTATAAACCTTAACTATGGCCTTCAACTACATCCCTTAACTACGGCCATCAATTTGCCTCATCTCCAACAGCCCTCAGACGTTACCTGAATCTCACGTGTTTGTGTCAGCCTATGTCAACGCCTGTGTGTGTGTGTGTGTGTGTGTGTGTGTGTGTGTGTGTGTGTGTGTGTGTGTGTGTATTTCCACATTTTAGAAGATAGGAATCTGACATTTGGTAGGGAGGTGCGAGTGGGCGAGCCAGGGATGGTCGTGCACTATGCGTCTCTCCACACACACACACACACACACACACACACACCACACACACACACACACACACACACACACACACACACACACACACACACACACACACACACACACACACACACACACACACACACACACACACACACACACACACACACACACACACACACACACAGTGTGTCATCAACTTGAGGTACAGGACATGATGGGACAGGAACAGGACAGGACATGATGGGACAGGTACAAGACACGAGGTACAAGACAGGGTACAAGACGAAAGAGTGCAGAACAGGACAAGACAGGACAGGTACAAGACAGGACAGGTACAAGACAGGACAGGTACAGGACAGTTACAAGACAGGACAGATACAAGACAGGACAGGTACAGTACAGGACAGGTACAGGACGGGACACGTACAGGACAGGACAGGTACAAGACAGGACGAGGTGCAGTACAGGAAGAGGGTATAGGACTGGACAGACAGGACAGGAAATCAGGACAGGACGGTACATGACAGATACAGGACAGGACAGGTACAGGACAGATACAGGACAGGACAGGTACAAGACAGGTGGGGAGAGCTTCGGGAATCACTGCAGATTGTGTATGCAAATTATGGTAGATTATGTTGAGGGATTAGCATAATGAAGGTATGGGGAGGGCAGATGAAGGGGGCGGGCGATAGGGGAGGTAGATGGGCGTGGAAGAAGAAGGAAGATTAAGAATGAAGAGGAATGAAGAGGAGGAGAGATGAAGAGAATGAAGAGAGTGGGGAATGAAGAAGTGATGGAGAGTGGAAGGAAAAAAGTGAAGGAGAGATTATCAGACTTCAAGAAAGGGTTTCCCTTCTCCTTCTCCTCCCCGTCCCTCCTCCTCCCCGTCATTCTCCTCCTCCCGTCATTCTCCTCCCCGTCTTTCTTGCCCTCCCGTCCTTCTTCCTTCATCCCCTCCGTCCTTCTCCCCTCCCCTCCCGTCCTTCTCCCCATCCCCTCCCCGTCCTTCTCCCCCTCCCCTCCCCGTCCTTCTTCCCTTCATCCCCTCCCCGTCCTTCTCCCCCTGCCCTCCCGTCCTTCTTCCTTCATCCCCTCCCCGTCCTTCTCCCCATCCCTCCCGTCCTTCTCCCATCCCCTCCCCGTCCTTCTCCCCCTCCCTCCCGTCCTTCTTCCTTCATCCCTCCCCGTCCTTCTCCCCTCCCCTCCCCGTCCTTCTCCCCTCCCGTCCTTCTCCCCTCCCCTCCCCGTCCTTCTCCCCCTCCCCTCCGTCCTTCTCCCCTCCCTCCCCGTCCTTCTCCCCTCCCCTCCCCGTCCTTCTCCCCTCCCTCCCCGTCCTTCTCCCCTCCCCTCCCGTCCTTCTCCCCTCCCCTCCCCGACCTTCTCCCCTCCCTCCCCGTCCTTCTCCCCCCTCCCCTCCCCGTCCTTCTCCCCCCTCCCCGTCCTTCTCCCTCCCCTCCCTTCTCCCCTCCTCCCGACCTCCCCCTCCTCCCCGTCCTTCTCCCCTCCCCTCCCCGTCCTTCTCCCCCCCTCCCCGCCCTTCTCCCCCCCTCCCCCCCGTCCTTCTCCCTCCTCTCCGTCCTTCTCCCCTCCCCCTCCCGTCCTTCTCACCTCCCCTCCCCGTCCCTTCTCCCCCCCTCCTCCCCTCCCCTCCCTTCCTTCTCCCCCTCCTCCTCCCCTCCCGTCTTCTCCCCTCCTCCGTCTTCTCCCCCCTCCTCCCCGTCCTTCTCCCCCCTCCCCCGACCTTCTCCCCTGCCCTCCCCGTCTTCTCCCCCTCCCTCCCATTCTTCTCCCCCCTCCCCTCCCCGTCCTTCTCCCCCCTCCCCTCCCCGTCCTTCTCCCCCCTCCCCTCCCGTCCTTCTCCCCCTCCCCTCCCCGTCCTTCTCCCCCTCCCCTCCCTTCCTCCCCGTCCTTCTCCCCCCTCCCCTCCCGTCCTTCTCCCCCCTCCCTCCCTTCTCCCCTCCCCTCCCCGTCCTTCTCCCCCTCCTCGTCCTTCTCCCCTCATCCCCTCCCGTCCTTCTCCCCTCCTCCCGTCCTTCTCCCCCCTCCCCCGTCCTCTCCCCTCCCCTCCCGTCCTTCTCCCCTCCCTCCCGTCCTCTCCCCTCCCCTCCCCGTCCTTCTCCCCCTCCCCTCCCGTCCTTCTCCCCCCCTCCCCTCCCGTCCTTCTCCCCCTCCCCTCCCGTCCTTCTCCCCTCCTCCCCGACCTTCTCCCCTCCTCCCCGTCCTTCTCCCCCTCCCCTCCCGTCCTTCTCCCCCCTCCCCTCCCGTCCTTCTCCCCTCCCCTCCCCGTCCTTCTCCCCTCCCCTCCCCGACCTTCTCCCCCTCCCCTCCCCGTCCTTCTCCCCCTCCCCTCCCCCGTCCTTCCCCCCCTCCCTCCCCGTCCTTCTCCCCTCCCCTCCACGTCCTTCTCCCCCCTCCCCGACCTTCTCCCCCCTCCCCTCCGTCCTTCTCCCCCCCTCCCTCCGTCCTCCCCCCTCCCCTCCCGCCCTTCTCCCCCCTCCCCTCTCCGTCCTTCTCCCCCTCCCCTCTCCGTCCTTCTCCCCCCTCCCTCCCCGTCCTTCTCCCCCCTCCTCCTTCTCCCCCCCTCCCCTCCCCTCCCCGTCCTTCTCCCCCCTCCCCTCGTCCTTCTCCCCCCTCCCCTCCCCGTCCTTCTCCCCTCCCCTCCCCGTCCTTCTCCCCCTGCCCTCCGTCCTTCTCCCCCTCCCCTCCCCGTCCTTCTCCCCTCCCCTCCCCGTCCTTCTCCCCCCTCCCCTCCCCGTCCTTCTCCCCCCTCCCCTCCCCGTCCTTCTCCCCCTCCCCTCCCCGTCCTTCTCCCCCTCCCTCCCCCGTCCTTCTCCCCCCTCCCCTCCCGTCCTTCTCCCCCCCCTCCCTCCCGTCCTTCTTCCCTTCTCCCCTCCCCCGTCCTTCTCCCCCCTCCCCTCCCCGTCCTTCTCCCCTCCCTGTTCTCCCCTCCCCGTCCTTCTCCCCCTCCCGTCCTTCTCCCCCTCTCTCCTCCTCGTCCTTCTCCCCCCTCCCCTCCCGTCCTTCTCCCCTCCCCCTCCCGTCCTTCTCCCCTCCTCCCCGTCCTTCTCCCCCTCCCCTCCCGTCCTTCTCCCCCTCCCTCCCCGTCCTTCTCCCCCTCCTCCCCGTCCTTGTCCCCCCCTCCCCGACCTTCTCCCCTCCTCCCGTCCTTCTCCCCTCCCCTCCCCGTCCTTCTCCCCCCCTCCCCTCCCCGTCCTTCTCCCCTCCTCCCACGTCCTTCTCCCCCCTCCCTCCCGTCCTTCTCCCCCTCCCTCCCCGTCTTCTCCCCTCCCTCCCCGTCCTTCCCCTCCCTCCGTCCTTCTCCCCCCCTCCCCTCCCCGTCCTTCTCCCCCTCCCCTCCCCGTCCTTCTCCCCCTCCCCTCCCCGTCCTTCTTCCCTTCATCCCCTCCCCGTCCTTCTCCCCCTCCCCTCCCCGTCCTTCTCCTCCCCTCCCGTCCTTCTCCCCTCCCCTCCCCGTCCTTCTCCCCCTCCCCTCCCGTCTCCTCCTCCCTCTCCCTCCCCCCTCCCCTCCCCGTCCTTCCCCCCTCCTCCCCGTCTCTCCTCCCCTCCCTCTCCCCTCCCCCCTCCTCCCCGTCCTCCTCCCTCCCTCTCCCTCCCCCCCTCCACCTCGTTATAAACTTCACCAAGTAGACAGACTTTTAAAACACGATAATTCTTCAGTAAGTGTGAGGGAGAGTGAGGAGAGGAGAGTGAGGTGAGAGGTGAGGAAGTGAGGAGGTGAGTGGAGGTGAGGAGGTGAGGAGTGGGAGGTGAGGAGAGTGAGGTGGGAGGTGGGAGGTGAGTGAGGGGAGGTGAGGAGGTGAGGTGGGAGGTGAGGTGAGGAGGTGAGGTAGAGTGAGGAGGTGAGGTGGGAGGTGAGGTGAGGTGAGGTGGGAGGTGAGAGGTGAGGTGAGGTAGGTGAGGTGGGAAGTGGTGAGGTGGAGTGAGGGTGGGGGTGAGGTGGTGGGGAGTGGGGGTGGGTGGGGGAGGTGGGGAGGTGAGGTGGTGAGGTGGGGAGGTGAGGTGGGAGGTGAGGTGAGGAGGTGAGGTGGGAGGTGTGGGAGGTGAGGTAGAGTGAGGAGGTGTGAGGTAGGAGGTGGGGTAGAGTGAGGTGAGGGAGGTGAGGAGGTGAGAAGGAGGTGAGGAGGTGAGGGGAGGTGAGGAGAGTGAGGTGTGGTGGAGAGGGGAGGTGAGTGAGTGGGGAGGTGAGGCAGGAGGTGAATGAGTGAGGTGAGGTGGGAGGTGAGGTGAGGTGGAGCCAGGTGGGGAGGTGAGCAGGAGGTGAGGTAGAGTGAGGTGGGTGGGAGGTGGGAGGTGAGGTGGGGAGGTGAGGTGGTGGAGAGGGAGGTGAGAGGTGAGGAGGTGAGGCAGAGGTGAGGTGGAGTGAGGTGAGGAGGTGGTGGGAGTGAGGTGAGGAGGTGAGGTGGGGTGAGGTGGAGGTGAGCAGAGGAGGTGAGGGTGGAGGTGAGGTGAGGTGGGTGAGGTGGTGGGAGGTGGGGAGGTGAGGTGAGGTGGGTGAGGAGGTGGGAGGTGGTGGGAGGTGAGGTGAGGGTGGAGGTGAGGGAGGTGGGTGGGGTGGGTGAGATGGGAGGTGGGGGGGAGGAGGAGGATGGATGAGAGGAGAGGGAAAGAGAAAGGAGGGAGGGGTTCTGTCGTGTGTGTGTGTGTGTGTGTGTGTGTGTGTGTGTGTGTGGGTGGGGGCTGCAGGAAGGTGGCGATGGCGAGGTGGTGCATTGTTGGCTGCCAAACCTTTCCAGTGCTTGG